AAAAATCCCCTTTCAGGGAACATTTTGGGGGGGGGGGGGTATTTTTTGGATTTTTTGTTTCCCTTGTTGAAATTTGTTTTCCCCCCCCCGGGGGATTTTCTTTCCCAAAAAGGTTTTTAAGGGTAGAAAAAATTTGGGGTGCCAGATTTCCCCCCCCCCCCCCCCCCCCCCCCCCCATCTTTTTAAGAGCTTTGAAACTCATGACTGGAAGGTGCTTACATATTGGAAATCTTCTTCGTTATGTAAACCTAACAATACGTTTTGTTGAAATTTATAGTAAGCTTTAAAATTGGAACTGAGTCTTTTCTACTTTTGTAGAAGCGTTTGGAGTCAATGGAAAAGCTTTAAACCAACTTCTAGAAGAGGTTATTAAACATAGCCAACCAAATGGAATTGGTATGAAGTCAAAATCTCTTATATAGTTCTCTAATATATGAGTGTTTTTATTCCGTAGTTGGTAAACATGTCCTTTTTATTATGTTAATGCAGATTCCTTAAATTGTAATAGCCCTAACAGATGAGAAAATGACAACAGAAGGACGTAAAGATCTTTATCGTTGCATGAAAAAATAGCTTGGTAGCGACTATGTGGATGCTATATATACATCCACTCAAACCTGCAAACAATGATGGTGACTCATTTAAAATTCTCATCAGGTTGATTACATATGTTTGTAATGACTTCATATATTTATACGTTTATGAATCTTTTCCAGGTTCAGATTAGTAGTCAGTGGATAGAGACAGGTGATCTGAGAGTTAGTGGACTAGAAACGGTAAGTATCATGTAGTATTAGCTTGTTCGATTCATGGTTAGAAGCTTACAATCTAAATGACTGTGTACATTTTTCTCAGATTGAAAAGAATATCAAAAGATATCTAAAGCCAACACTAGTACTTATGCTTTAAAAGGTAAGACCATGGTCTGTTCAAGGTACCTGCTTGTCTGATTAACATGGTCTCTCCTTTTCGTTCCCTTGTTTCAAGGTACCTGATTGTCTGACTAACAATTTTGTTTTTTCAGAACCATTTGAATCATCAAAGAATGTCGAAAGGTGTTTCAAAGACTTCAAAATAGATTTTTAGTGGTCGTACCTTGAAGCAAGAAAACAGAACAGTAAGATTCTGTCTCTTAACATGTTTTCTTATGTATTTAATTGTATCGAGTCACCAAAAAATTAGACAGAATGATATATGGTGATAGATTTGGTATGAAGAAATGATCCAAGATGCAAGGGATCTCTAAAATCTGATTCTCTAATTAGCTTTATTATATATCTATTTCAAAGCTTCACCACTTCAAGATGCAAGGGATTTGAAGTTGACGTATGGAAATGTACAATACTTCATTTTAAGGTAAGTTGTTTCCTCATGTCTCTTTTTCACAAAGAGTGAAATAATTTTTTTTTCTCTTTATTTGCTATCATATTTGATATCTCTTTGCTTCCCATGTCTTTAAGTTACACAGGTCGCAAACGCAATCCGTAATCTAGAAAGGAAGAGTCAGGTGGTAAAATCTCTCTATCTCTCTTCTCAAAGTAAAAAGTTAACACAAACAAAACTGATCACACTCAAACTTAAAAACTTCGCATGCCCAAGAAACAAATAATACTCGATAAAAACTCCACACACCAAAAATTTCACATCCCACGAAAACACAAACACAAACTTCACATGCCACGAAACATAAACACGAAAACTTCACATGCCACAAAACACTAACGCAAAAACTTCACTTGCCACGAAACACAAACGCAAAAACTTCACAATCCACGAAACACAAATGCAAAAACTTCACATTCCACGAAACACAAACAAAAAAATTTCACATGCCACAAAACACAAACAAAAAAATTTCACATGCCACGAAACACAAAACTTAAAAATTTCACATCCCACGAAACACAAACACGAAAACTTCGCATGCCATGAAACACAAACACAAAAATTTCACATGCCACAAAACACAAACACATAAACTTAACATGCCACGAAACACAAACACAAATATCGCAAATACTCCGCAAACTAAGCACTTCACTACCACGAAGCACAACAAAAAACTCGACAAAACCCAACAAATTCACGATCAAACACAAACACAAATATCGCAAATACTCCGCAAACTAAGCACTTCACTACCACGAAAGACAACAAAAAACTCGACAAAACCCAACAAATTCACGATCATCTGGAACAAGAGTTAATCATGGATATTTTTCTTTCCATGACAAGTATTTTTATGGATATAATGTTTCTATATTACAAGAGTTTAATGCTGTCCATTTATAATGTCAGTAACAATTCATATAATTTATGCATGATTTTTAATGTTATCTATTTGCTCATTTTTTATTATTAAATTTTGTTATATTTACTGTTTAAAAGTTGCAAATGTATCAAGATCATTTTGATACACATTTTTACTCCATACAAAATTTCACATTATTATTTTCTTTTTCTCAATGTGGTTAAGCGCAGTGTGTAACACTGTTTTGTACTTTTTCTTTTGCTTTTGGTTATTTTTGTTAATTAAAACAGACGTTAGTTTTGTAATTTTCTTTATGTTAAAAATCATTTTTGGGGATGTAAGATTTTATCAGTTGTCGTTGTTGTTATATAATGTGATATTTTATTATTGTAGCCACGAATATATCGAAGTTTCAATATGCTATCAACAGTTTTTCTTGTAGTACATAAAACTATACACCGACGATGACTTTTACCAAATCAATTCAAGGAGACAAAACGCCACGGCTAGACAACAACACCATATTGAAGCATTAATTCTCATCAATATGCATCAAGATCTAGTTTATGCAGAAGCTTGAATCTTTTAATCTGGAGATTTGTTAGACACCTTTCTCAAAGCATATCATTGGATAATTGTGCTGTCCCATCCCAACATAATAAGTTTAGGCTCAAACTTGTGTTGAGATACCATTTAGAGGCATTTGAGATACCTATTAAGAAGCATTAATTCTCATCATTATGTAGAGTCTTAATTTATATGTTGCAGACACTTGAATTCTTAATCTTGGGATGTCACTGAATTGTATATGTCCCAGCTCAGTAAGATATAAAATATACTGACGACAAATATAAATTTTAAGCAGACAGTTAAATTTCTTTTATGAACGTTATTAAGCTTAGCCATGTCATGTCTATTAAAAGACACTTTTTTCTCTATCAAGAAACACTATATATTAGTATCATCTTTGCTCAGACCAACGAGCTATAAACTTTAAGCAGACATATGAATCTCCCATTTGAACATTATTAGAGAAGCCTTATTAAAGGACAAGTCGTTCACTATCAAGGGACACTGTGTATTATCATCTTCCTTAGGCCAATAAGATATAAACTTCAAGCAGACTATTGAATTTCCCATATCATCATCATGCAGAACACTGAATACTGTTTTGCTACTTGAACACTTAAGTATTCACAATCTCTGTAACATCCATTATTAAACATGTCTTACCACCCCCATCAACAAGCAGAGTATTTGAATATTTCCGAGCTCTTCCAACCCATTACAGCATATATATATATATATGCATTAAGCAAGAACGTGATCTTTCCAATCTTGAGATACCATTTAAGGGCATCATTGAACTATAGAAATGTTTGCAGACACTTGAATTCTCAATCTTAGGGCATCATTGAACTATATATGTCCCAGCTAAGTAAGATATACAATTTACTGAAAGGCAAATATAAAAATTAAAGCAGACAATTGAATTTTTTCTTTACGCAAAATTATTCAGACATGCCTCACTAAAGGACTTTTGTTCTCTTACACCAACATATATTATCATCTAGTCTCAAGCCCAACAAGATATAAACTTCAAGCAGACAATTGAATTCTCCCATAAGAACATTACTAGAGAAACTTTATTAAAGAGCATTCTTACTCCATCAGTATAAGCAGAGTATTTGAATCTTTCAAGCTCTTCCAACCATTAGAGCAAATATGCATAAAGCAAAGACACTGAGTTTCACAATCTCTGGAACATCATAAGAGAAGCCTTATAGAGGAACTTTTTTCTTTCTCCATCAATATAAGCAAAGTATAGAATCCTTCAAGCTCTTCCAACCCATCAGAGCATAGATGCATTAAGCAGACACTTGAATTCCTAAACCGGAGTCTTATTATCTCCATGAAAAAAGCAGACCATTGAATACCATATAGGTTAAGATTGAGTTTACGTCATTAGAGCACTGGTTTAACCATGTTTGTCCCAGCCATGTGAGCAGATAACAGCGTTTCACAATCTCTGGAACATCATTAGAGAACCCTTACAAAGGGACATATAATTTTCTCCATCAAAAAGCAGAGTAATTGAATACCATAGAACAGGTATCAAGCAGAGTATTGAATTTAAGACTACTGCATAAACCATGTTTGTCCCACCCATGTAAGATTATTAGCCCAGATAATTATGTTTCTCTCGAACATCCTTAAGATAAGCCTTATAAAGGTACAATTTTTATTTTTTTTCCAAATCAGTATAAGCAGAGTATTTGAATCTTGCAAGCTCTTCTAACCATTAGAGCATATATATGCACAAAAGCACACAATTGAATTTTTCCCCGAATCGGACATTATCGAACAAATCTTATTATTCCCATCAGAGTATTACAATCTCTTCTGACCCATCACAGGCTCAGCATATAAAGCAGATCATTGAATTCCCGAATCGGACAGAACAAGTCTTATTATTTCCATCAATATAAGCAGAACACTGAACTATTTTTTTCTTTTTTTTCAAAGTAGTCTCAATCGTGGTCACAAGACTAACACCGTGCACATGGTTTAAACGTGTCATATTGTCTTCGAAGAATTACCTAAATAAGTGTTACTGTTGACAATATATAATACAATTTGAGTTACTTTCGTACTAAATGAACTATTATTTTTCTTTTTTTCCAAGACTCACATCAAACACATTTTATGAAAGAGTCATATTGTCTTTGAAGAATTGCCAAAATCGACATCTCAGTTTAATCATCTCAATCCTTAATAAATATCAATAAAATACCATTGAATTTTGAAGAGACTATGCCAATTTTTGGTAATTATCCGAACATGTGTGTGTGACTCTTCTACTCAATATGGAATACAATCTTTTTTTATATAAAAGGCTTTCAGCCAATTCCTTTTTATTAGTTTGTTTATGATAATAAATTAGACTAAACTTATATGTTTAGATTGTTTTCTTCCAAGGTATTAGTTTAAAACCGTTTTCTATTCATTAACAAAAGATGCAAAATAAAAATAAAACTTAAACATATGAAAACAACTTATATATAATTATTGGGACAAAAAGAAAAGAAAACAACGCATATATGGTGAAAGATATTGAGAGAGAGAGAGTTATGGACTCATATTGTAATTAGTATATTACCTTAGTATGTTTTAGTAATATATATCTTTGTATTTAGGGTCTCTCATACGTGATGTATATAAGGCTATGCCTTCACATTATAATGGATAAGAAAACCTTTTACCTTACTATAGGTTTTTGATATGGTATCAGAGCCAAACCTATTTTTTTAGGTCTTTCGATCTTCTGCCTCCATCTTTATCGAACTCTGCTTTCGATCTTCTATCTTTCTTCTTGACTTTAGTATTATCGATCATTCTGTCGAGATACTCTCTTTGAATCAATGACGGAAGACGGATCTGCTGAGAAAAACAAAGGGTCTCTCATCGAGTCTGGTTCTTATTCTAAACCAGAGATGACACGTAGGAGGATTGATCCATATGATCTTTCATCTGGTGATAATCCAGGTTCGATTATCTCCCAACCTCAACTACGTGGTTCTAATTATGATGAGTGGGCAATGAACCTTCGACTTGCGTTGAGGGCTAGGAAGAAATTTGGTTTTGCGGATGGTTCTATCCCTAAACCTGATGATGATTCTGACGATCTAGAGGATTGGTGGGCTAATAATGCTATGGTGGTGTCCTGGATTCGGCTCACTGTTGCACCGGATTTGAGCAGTTCACTTTCTCATCATGAGGTCGCTTTTGATCTATGGACGCACATACAAAAGCGTTTCTCGGTCAAAAATGGACAACGTGTTCAACGTTTGAAGACGGAGTTGGCGAATTGTCAACAAAAAGGATCTGCTGTGGAGGCTTACTATGGGAAACTTACAAAATTGTGGACTAGTCTCGCTGATTTTCAAAGAGCAAAAACCGCTGAAGAGATTGCTAGAGAGCGAGAAGAAGATAAGCTTCATCAGTTTTTAATGGGGCTTGATGAGAGTGTTTTTGGTGCTGTCAAGTCTTCTTTGTTATCACGAGACCCACTTCCATCGCTTGATGAGGCCTATCAAGTTGTTACGCAAGATGAAGAATCTAAACGTGCAAGTCGTATGTTGGAGGAGCGTAATGAAGGTGTTAGCTTCGCTGTTCAAGCTTCACCACGGACAAAACCACCAACGAATTTAAGAGATCCAGCGGCTGTATGTTCTACATGTGGGAGAAAGGGACATTCAGCTGAAAATTGCTTTCGTAAACTGGGTTATCCACATTGGTGGGGTGATCGGCCTCGTTCTACGGTGATTAACACACCCACTGGTTCTTCGGGTGGAACGAGTAATGAACGACGAGGACCAACGTCACAACCCAAGCAAGCTAATCAGATGGTGGTTTCTTCACCCGTTTTTGCTGCTAACTCGATGCTCTCGGAGTCTGACCGTACTGGTTTCGTTGGTCTCAACGATGTGGAGTGGCAGAGTTTAAAGCAAATGATTAGCGAACGTAACTCGGGTGTGCATGACCGTCTTTCGGGTACGTTTTTTATTGAATCTTGGGTTATTGATACAGGTGCTTCGAATCATATGACGGGAAGCATTGAATTTCTTAAAGATATTTGTGATATGGATCCCGTGTTTATCAAGCTTCCCGATGGTCGTTTTACAACGGCAAATAAACAAGGGACAGTTTATATGGGGTCAAATATTCAGCTGCTCAATGTGTTTTTTGTGGATGGTTTACACTGTCATCTCATCTCCGTTTCTCAGTTAACTAGAGATAGGGGATGCATTTTTCAGTTGTCTGACAAGATTTGTGTTATCCAGGACCGCATCACACAGACGCTGATTGGAGCAGGTGAACAAATGAATGGTCTCTATTTCTTTCGAGGTGTGGCTGTGGCGGCAGTGACTCAAGCTATGGATATGCAGTCTCTTGAAGTGTGGCATTGTCGTTTAGGACACCCGTCCTCTAAAGCTATGGAGATGATGAAGTTCTCAGATTCTCTTAGTACTAGTTGTTTTGATTCCAAGTTGTGTGACGTTTGTATTCGCTCCAAGAAAACAAGAGATCATTTTCCATTAAGCATCAATAAAACTTCTGCGATTTTTGAGCTAGTGCATTGTGATCTATGGGGTCCGTATAGGACAACGTCGCTTTGTGGTTCAAGATTTTTCTTAACAATTGTGGATGATTATTCTCGGGCTGTTTGGACTTATTTGCTGCCAAATAAATCTCAAACTGCGTCTACACTTCGGAATTTTATCTCTTTAGTTGAACGTCAATTTGAAACCAAAGTGAAGACCATTCGTAGCGATAACGGGTCTGAATTTTTAAGTCTTGCTGAATTTTTCCGGGAAAAAGGCATCATTCACGAGACTTCTTGTGTTGGGACTCCCCAACAAAATGGACGCGTTGGACGCAAGCATCGCCATATACTCAACGTTGCACGTGCATTGCGTTTTCATGCTAATTTACCAATTGATTTTTGGAGTTTTTGTATCCTAACTGCAGCCTATTTGATAAATAGGACTCCTACGAAATTGCTTGCTGGTCGTACTCCATTTGAGTTACTCTATAATCGCCCTCCACCGCTGAATCATTTGAGGGTGCTTGGGTGTTTGTGTTATGTTCATAACCAAAGACGTGACGGAGATAAGTTTGCTCCGCGGAGTAATCGTTCTGTTTTTATTGGGTATCCCTATGGGAAGAAGGGCTGGAAAGTGTATGATCTTGAAACCGGTGTTATTTCACTATCTCGTGATGTTGTGTTTATGGAATCGGAGTTCCCTTTCGTCACAGCCAATAAAACTCCACATACTTTGCTTCCACAACCGATCGGTTCTGTTGAGGTTCCTATTTGTGCTCATGATGATGATGACGAGTTCATCATTCCTTCTCCTTCTCCTTTGGTCTCTTCTCCTTCACAGATACCTACGTTGCCTCAGATTAATGAAGATGAGAATTTGGATACGACTGAGACAACACCAGTTTCGTTTTCACCATTACCACCTACGGAGGTTAATACCGCTCCCGTACCGGAGTCGTCTTCTTTACCTTCTTCAGCTGAAAATTCTTCTGATGAGGATGTTAGTTCCGCTGTGGATAGTCCTAAAGGGAGAGGTTGTCGACGAAAATTTCCTTCTACAAGACTTCGCGATTATGTAACCAATACGACTCATCTCGTGTCGGATGGAGATTTTGTTGATACTTCTTGGTATCCCATTGAAGCTTATGTTGATTGTTCTCGTTTTTCTGATCATCATAGAGCTTTTCTCGCTGCTATAACAGAAGGGAAAATTCCTCAAACATATGATGAGGCTGTTCTTGATGAAAATTGGCAAGGAGCAGTTGCTGGTGAGATTGAGGCTCTTGAGGAGCAAGGGACGTGGACTGTTGGTTTATTACCACCCGGTAAGAAAGCACTTGGTTGTAAATGGGTTTTTACACTCAAGTATCGATCTGATGGTACTTTGGAACGTTATAAGGCAAGACTTGTGGTCCTCGGGAATAATCAAACCGAAGGTCTTGATTATAAAGACACGTTTGCTCCGGTGTGTAAGATGGTGACAGTCCGGACATTTTTGGAAGTCTCAGTTTCTCGGGATTGGGAAGTTCATCAAATGGATGTTCATAATGCTTTTCTTCATGGAGATTTAGAGGAAGAAGTCTACATTCGTTTACCGCCTGGTTTTAGAACGGATGATAAGAAGCAAGTATGTCGTCTTCATAAGTCTTTGTATGGTTTGAAACAAGCTCCACGGTGTTGGTTTGCAAAACTGAATACGGCTCTCCAAGACTATGGTTTTTCTCAATCTCTCTCGGATTATTCTTTATTTACCCTTACGGATAACCGTGGTGATCTCCGACTTCATGTGTTGGTTTATGTTGATGATCTTATTATTTCGGGAAGTACATTGGCTATTATTCAAGAATTCAAGGATTATTTGAGTTCTTGTTTCCACATGAAGGACCTTGGTATACTAAAATATTTTTTGGGTATCGAAGTGGCTCGCAGTCCGAGTGGTATGTATTTGTGTCAAAGGAAATATACACTTGATATAATTTCAGAAATTGGTCTTCTTGGTGCCCAACCGGTCACTCATCCACTCGAACAGAACCATAAGCTGGCGCTAGCTAAGGGGGAATTTCTTTCAAATCCTATGTCTTACCGCCGTTTAGTAGGACGTTTGATTTATCTTGGAGTCACCCGTCCAGAATTGTCATATGCCATTCATATTCTTTCTCAGTTCATGCATGCTCCGAGAACGGACCATTGGGAAGCTGCATTACGTGTGGTTAGATACTTGAAAGGTAATCCTGGTCAAGGCATTCTTCTCCAAGCTGATACTGATTTACGTCTTACTGCTTGGTGCGATTCAGATCACGCCGGCTGCCCCTTATCTCGCCGTTCACTTACCGCTTGGTTTATTCAACTTGGGGGTTCTCCTATTTCTTGGAAAACACGGAAACAAGACACGGTTTCTCGTTCTTCTGCTGAGGCGGAGTATAGAGCAATGGCAGATACAGTTAGCGAACTTCTTTGGTTGCGGGGTTTACTCACCTCTCTTGGTGTTGACTGCTCCTATGCAATTCCTCTTCATTGTGATAATCAGTCTGCTCTCTACATTAGTGCGAATCCAGTTTTCCACGAACGAACAAAACATATTGCAACAGATTGTCATTTTATTCGCAATGAGATCGTACGTGGCGTTATTGCTCCTGCTTATGTTCCTACACAGTTGCAGCTCGCGGATATTCTCACAAAGGCTCTTGGTGGACGTGAGTTTGATCTTTTTCTACGCAAGTTAGGTATTTGTGACCTGCATACTCCGACTTGAGAGGGGGTATTGAGAGAGAGAGAGAGAGTTATGGACTCATATTGTAATTAGTATATTACCTTAGTATGTTTTAGTAATATATATCTTTGTATTTACGGTCTCTCATACGTGATGTATATAAGGCTATGCCTTCACATTATAATGGATAAGAAAACCTTTTACCTTACTATAGGTTTTTGATAAAAGACTAAATGATGACATCTCCTCTCATAATTTAATAACACTTAGGAGTTAAGAAACATCATGACAATTTATAGAATATACACCGACGATGACTTATACCAAATCAATATATTCAAGTCGACGAAACGGTACGGCTAGACAAGAACACCATGCCCCCGTCCTTGGGCGACATCGTGGGGCAATGCACAATCTCATCGCATCCATCAGACCGGACTCTCTTGAAATCAAGAAGCGACGTGAACATGGCAATGAAGAGCACGAGTTGGTTCAACGCGTAACGCTGACCAACACACTGGTGCGAGCCAATTCCAAAAGCTAGGAAATTGCGTTTGAACACCTGATCCTCTTGCCTTGTCTCGCTAAACCGGTCAGGATCAAACCGGTCTGGTTCAGTAAACCCTTGAAACGATGCATTGTAAATGGAAGGAAACACAACTGCACCTTTAGGTATTGTGTAAGATTCCGTGAGAAGGAAGTCACTAACAGCAACGTGTGGAACCACACTTGCTGGTGTTCTGTATCTAAGGACCTCACGTGCCACACACCGTGTGTACTTCATCTCTGCGAGCTGATCAGCTGTGATCAACGTGTTTGACTCAGGCGACCATATCTGTCCTACTTCTTCCCTGACTCTTCTTAACACTTCTGGCTCTGACTCAATCAGCACAACTGCCCAAAGAAGTGATGATGTGGAAGCGTCCTGTGCGGCGATCAAAAAATCAACGAGAACACAACTTATCTCTTCGTCTTTGGAGTGAGGCGGTGGTGGAGTCTTCGCAATGATCGAATGCGTCCAAAAATCGACTAAGCATGTTGGATGCTCTCCTGTAGCCATCTTTGCTTTTGACTTTCTTGTACAAAGAGCCATTGTGTTCGTTAGCCTCGATACCGCCTTACGAGCTTCCCCGAACGCGAAGCCAGAAAGGTCGATAGGGAGCGCCATTGTTCCTCTATTGAACATATTGTAATCACTACGGATTGAGTTCTTGACTTCCTCGTCAAGGTAGGGTCCGACAAAAACCGTGTGGGAAGTCTCGAGGTTGAGTTCACGGATGAGTTGTCGCATGGAAACCGGCTGAGATCCACCGGAGAAATTTTCCTCCCACTGCCGTAAATGACGGAGGATAACTGTTTGTTGTATGGATGAGTAGATGGAGAGTGGCGTGCGGGTGAAGTTAGGAGCGACTTGACGACGAACGGACTTGTGTTCCTCGCCAAACATAAAGATAAGGCTGCGATCACCAAAGATCTTTTTGCCGTATGGATGACCAATAAGTTGGAAAGCATCGGGACGTACGTTGGCGAAGATTTTATTTGAAAGCTCTGCGTCTCTGACGTAGACGATGAATTTTCCTATGAGGTAGTTGGCTGAAAGGCCGACGGAATTGTCCGCCATCGCGGATTGCTTGTCCCAGAAGGAAGTCGGGTCGCGGAGGAGTGCAAGGACGTTTCCTATGATCGGAGGGACGAGGAAAGGGCCAGGGAGGTTACGTTTCTTGACAAGGTAAGAGAGTTGCTCAAGAAGAAGGAAGAGAAGTAGTGCTGAGACTAAGTATGGTGCAAGAGAGGCAAATGTGGAAACTGATGAGGAAACCATTCTTGTTTCTTGTTTCTTGTTTCTTTTCTATTGTTTGATTTGAGTTTTTTTTTCTTTTGCGTATATATAGAAATGATATATCAGAGTGTTAAACAAGAAAAAATAGAGGTTTTGCTTTTTGTTATACTACTTGCTTTTTTTACTTTCTTGGTGTTCTTTGTTTGTTAGGGTTCGCAGAATATTTATAAGAGGCTTTGGGGATGTATGGATTGAAGCTGTTAGCAAAATTGATTAATAGAAGAAGAAACAAAATAAAGGTCTTTCTTTTGTTCATCTTCTTAAATCATACATGACAATTTTGACATTGTCGATGGTGATTTGTGAGTCTTGACATTTCTAATAGATTAATGACTTTTCGTATGGAAACTAGATGACTTAACTTGTGAGTTAACGAAATTTTGATCTTAGCTTTACCAAATGAAACTATTTTGTTTTTGACAGTTTCGTTTACCTTAAAAAGGCATAGTATGGGAGTCACAATATCATACCTATTAACCTTATTTGCTCTAAATCATCAAAATATCATTTAGGCTCAATAATTATTGGGTTTCGTTTTAGTTAAGTTCTATTTTTGTCTTGTGTCAACGATTGATTTTACTAGTCCGAGTGGGTTTTATACGTTTATTCCCATCCAAATATGAATGACGCTATCTTGCCATTTTAATGCAAGTTCGCAACAATTTTACTATTCTTTACTTTGTGCTTCACTGTTTTTTAATTTCAACTTGTTTACAACTACTATTTTATCATTTTTACTGATAAATTTTGATGTATAGTTTGATTAGGAAATATAACATAATGGTTTGTATTACTGTCGTTATTGTGTTCCAACCAAATTCGAATCTGGTGGATGTTGCAGAAACTGAATTAAAAGTTGTTTAGAAATTGAAATAGTATTGGGACAAGAAGAGTTCGTCAGATGTTTTTAAATTCTTCATGATCATATATATATATATATATATATATATGTCGGGTAAAAGTTTAGGTTTCAGCTGTATTTTTTTTTTCATATAAAACAAATATGATAATCTGTGACATACTTATATTTCTTTTGTTGTTATTAGCCTTTCATTACCTATCATCTATGTTTACTAGGTAATGTCCCGCGCATATGCGCGGGTTATTGTATATTTATTTAATTATTTTAATTTATTTATTATTTATAAAAAATAGATTAAATAAATTTTAATGCTTATGACATTTTACATGTTATTTATTTAAATCATAGAATAAAAGTATACATCCATATCTTTTGAATTTATTCGTTGATTAATTGTTCAATTAATCAATTTTGATAGTAATTTTCTTTAGTACTTTTAAGTATTTTTTGATAAAACAATAATATTGTTAATGATATTGGGAGAATTTAAAAAATACCCCTTTAATAATACCACTTTTTAAATTTACCCCATTTTCAAACTTTATCAAAACAACCAATAAAAATGTTGAAATTTATCCAAATATGTGTATAAACTTATAAATATACACACAAATTACCTTTATTTGTGTATAAAATTTTATTTATTTCACTGTCTTACAAATTGGTTTGAATATAACAAAAAATTATTTTGTAAAAATAATTACATACTTTGAAAATAAAATAAATATACATGAATATGTGAGAAAGAAAAAAACATCTAAAGTAAAACAGTGAAGATGATTTATTTAGCTTGATTTTCTTATGGTGCGATGGTCAGAATTCAATAAAGTAATTTCCTTATAGCTATAAAATATTATTATATATATGTATTATACATTTAATAGTATAAAAAAATAATGAAAAAATGAAAAAGTACATAAAATAAAGAAGAAATATAATTGAAAACAAAAGTTTTAACC